TGGCCCAGCCGCTGGTCAGCCCAGGGCAGAGTCTGCCCCTAGCCCCCCGCTTTCTCCTGCTTCAGCGCTGCCCAGGGAGGAGGGTGTCCCTCCTAGAGATCGTGGCTCTCCCTTCCAGAGCTGGGACCTGTACTCCCCTCTGATCAGCCCTGGGCTCTCCCCACACCAACCCTTGGCGATCCAGGGCCTCCACGTCCTCCACCCGCAAGCCGAAGATGAAGAGGTTTTCCTCGCCTGCCTCCTCGGCCATCTCCACGTTGGCCCCGTCCATGGTACCGATGGTGAGGGCCCCGTTCACCATGAACTTCATGTTGCCAGTACCCGAGGCCTCCGTGCCGGCCGTGGAGATCTGCTGGGAGAGATCCGCTGCCGGGATCACTGCCAGGTGCAAGAGAGGTAGGAGTTAATCCTCGGCAAACCACAGCTCCCCATGACCTGGGCCCAGGACAGCAAGACCAGCCTGGGCGTCTGCTCGTGGCCCCGCTGACCTCAACCTCAGCCCAAGGAGCACGGCTGTGGGGCTAGAGCCAGGCTCAGCCCTGCTGCGACCTCACGCAGCTGCTGTCACCCCGCATGGAGCTGGTTCCTACCCCGCGTGGAGCCCTCGGGCCCTTCCCAAGGGAGAGCCGGGTGAGCTGCCACGCTGCTCTCCCAGGCCAGCCGGTTTCTGGGATCAGCTGGGACATGCCCAGCTCCTGACGCATGCTCACACCACACCAGACGTACCCTTCTCGGCCAAGGACACCCGGTAGTTCTCCAGGAAGATGACCTTGAGCCTGTCCCCCACGTAGGGATCGTTGTTGATGACCTCGCCGATAGATGTGATGAGTTTGATGATCATCTTGGCCATGTGGTAGCCAGGGGCCGCCTGAAGAAGAGGAGCCCGGAAATGGTGAAGGTTTTTAAGGACGGGAGAGCGCGAGAGGTGCCAGTGCCATGGGGAGAATGTGGGTCTCACCCCTGCTGTTCACAGGGATCAACAGAAACACCCTCCTGGAAGAAGTCGTGAGCTACCAGGAAAGGGTGATACGGCCTTGTTCAGCCCAACTAGTCCCTGAGAACTGGGCTTGTTCAGCCTGGAGAAGAGGAGGCTCCGAGGAGACCTCATTGCAGCTTTCCAGTATCTGAAGGGGGCCTACAAGGGTGCTGGGAGAGGACTTTTTACAAGAGCCTGTAGTGATAGGACAAGGGGTAATGGGTATAAATTGAAATCAGGGAGGTTTAGATTAGATATCAGGAAGAAATTCTTCACAGAGAGGGTGGTGAGGCACTGGCACAGGTTGCCCAGAGAAGCTGTGGATGCCCCATCCCTGGAAGGGTTCAAGGCCAGGCTGGATGAGGCTTGGAGCAACCTGGTCTAGTGGAAGGTGTCCCTGCCCATGGCAGGGGGGTAGGAACTAGATGATCTTTAAGGTCCTTTCCAACCCAACCCCTTCTATGATTCTATGATTCTGTGATTCTATGAGGGTGTTCCCTGAAGATCCCGCAGCAGACCCATGCTGGCTAACCTACAGTGGGCCTGGCAACACCACAGAAAGGGGACAGCACCTTCCCCACATCCCCACCGAGCCACGCACGCGAGTCCGGAATGTACGTTACCTTCCCTCCGATCATAATGGTCCTGGGCACGAAGGATTTGGACGGGTCACTTCTGATGCCTGAAAGAGCAGGGCACAATGCAGAACTGTAAACTGGGCAGTGGTCAGGGCGGGCGTCGGAGGTGGGCTGGGATCCCAGCCCATGCCACGTGGACCCAGCGACCTGCAGTCCCCCAAGCCCAGCCAGGCATCTGCTGGGTGAAAATGGGCTGCAGATTCCTGGGAGAGCTGCTCAAGGCAGCGCGATGCAGAGCTCTAACGACTTGTCTGTGTTCAGGAGTGGGCAGGGGCCCGAACAGACGCTGGGGAGCGGCGTCTCAACTTGCTCCAGGCCAGTCCTAACACCTGACTACAGGCGTGGGGGTTGCCTGCGCCCCAGGAACCAGCTGGGCTGGAGATGTGGGCTCTGAGTTTTTCCGTACGGCCCTTCATTGTCTTCCCTCCTGGAGAGAAGCCCCTCGTGACAGGAGGGCAGCGCTAGGCGCGGGAGCCCTTGGCCACCAGCGGGCACTTTCCCACGGGCACCCTGGCAACGAGCGGCCGGGGGGACGCCCCTCGCCCAAGAGCCCAGGCAGGACTTACGGTTGTAGAGGGTGACAGCGTGCAGGCAGTTCAGCAGCTGCCGCTTGTACTCGTGGATCCGCTTGACCTGAACGTCGAACATGGACGAAGGGTTGATCTTGACCTTGTACTGCTCCTCCAAGTAGGCTGCAAACTTCAGCTTGTTCTCCTGGAAGGAAAATCTGATGAGGAACGGGCGTGGGTTCCCAAGGCTTGCATCAGGAGCGAGCGTTGGCTGCTGGGATGTTCCTGGGAGCGTGATGCCTTCTTTCCCCTCACGCCCCTCCCGAGCGCACGTTACCTGCTTGACTTTTGCCACGTCCCTGATAAACGGCTCGTTGTTGACGAAATCTAGGAGCTTCTTCAGCTGGCTGAGATCTGTGATGAAGCCTTCCCCGATTTTCTAGAAGAACAAATCAAGAGAGGGATGTCCCACCCACGAGACCCCTCACCCAGCCCACAACTCCGCTTCCCCAGCAGAGATGCCACAGTCCTGTTGGGAACTGGAAGAGGCCCTCTTGGCCAGCTCTTCACCACTGAGCTGTCCCGGGCTGCCCTTGCTCACCCCCACCAGGCGTTAGCCCCGGCTCTCATCCGGCCACACGGAGAGGCCGTCGGAAGCCAACGGGTCACGCTCAGCCCCTCACCCCACCGGTTTGCAACTCACCTCCGCGATAACGTCGGCCAGTCCCGGGTTGCACAGCAGGAGCCAGCGCCGCGGCGTGATCCCGTTTGTCTTGTTCTGAAACTTCTCCGGCTCCAGCTCATAGAAATCCTTGAACCTGGAACACCAGGGAACTCTGAACCACCCACCGCCACCCAGAGCTTCAACGGGGCCCCCCTGCGTGTGCTCCTGACTCGGGACAGTGTCCATGGATCTCCCGGTAACAACCGCGGGCTCTCCACGCTGCCTCCCCCGCTTCCTCGGCCGGAATGCCAAGGGTCTCGCCCACTCCAAAGGGAGAGGAGTTCCACCTCACACACACACAAATGAGAGTCCCCCCGGGCTG